TTACTGGAGTAACATCATTATCATCAACGAGAAAAGCAAAATAATTAGTCCTTAAATGCCTCTTACAAGCAATAATCAATTAATTGATGAGCTCAAGATCAATTAATTAATTGGTTGGAATAACAAATCGTCAATCGAAGCTCAGTGAGTCGAAAGAAATTTGGAACCAAAGAGAGAACCCAAATATCTTCTAATATTCAAAATCTACGAGATAAAACTGAGCAAAGAAAAAACCGAAAAAGTAAATTACCCAAGTGCTCATTTCAACGACAATTCGAATAACCTTTTTTTTTTCGAACCTTCATATCAGTGAATCAACCAGATTTCCATGATAATATTCGAACAATTCTAAACTGGACAATCCATTGGATAGAATAAGAAGAAGAAAAAGAAAAAAAAATGTAATGACAAGAAAGAAACCAAAAGACCCGCGAAAACAAATTAATTGATCTTCAATTAGCTCAACATTAAAATTACTGTTCGTTTGGTTAATCAAAGTGATTTAGATACAAACAAAAGAAAAATCTATCATTCATCTTGACAATTAATCGATAGTTAAATAATTTATCGATACAATGGCTGAAAGAAAGAACAAATTTCTTTGTGTTAAATATTTTCTAATGGCGTCCAATGCTTTCGGTGTCATGCTCGGCATATTCGTAGTGCTTTTCGGATTAGCTTATTCCATGGAAACTTTTCCCGGAGGCTATAAAGGTCGAACCTGTGCCATTGCCTCAGTTGTATTCATCTTTTTCGCCCTAATAGGCTATTGTGGTGCTCACCATCAGAAGATTGTTTTCCTGTTAATTTATTCTGTAATTATTTTCCTTTTCGTTATTTCAAATGCTCTAATTTGGATAATCGCCCCACAAGAATCTTTACTTGATTCACATTCGAAAACGGTGATTCTCATGGGACTTTTATTCATTGGCCTAATGTTTGCAGCAATTGTACTCTCCTGGCACCTAAAATATGCAACTGATTACGTTGAAGAGGAAGAATTAAATGAGAAAACGATGATCAACAAACCAGGAACGATAACGTTTAATTCAATCCAACGAATTAGAACTCGAAGCTTCTCTGAGCCTTCTTATTGAAAATCAATCACCAAGATTGTATTGTGAATATAAACACTGTGCATATAAAAATGTATATCAGTTCAATTTCCACCACCATGATAATCTCACCATCAGCATCCTCATCTCATCATTTCCATCATCAACAGTCATGATAATATATATATTACAACGAGAAAATAAGAAGGAGACTTGAAGCTAAATGGGAAAGATTCACCTTCTATGTTGTGATTGATTTGGTTTGTGGTCATTTCTGTTTGCCAATGGGAATGTGATTCTAGTCTGAAAATACTAAAGTTACCATCAGAAAATGGTAACAAAAGTCAATATCAATTGTTGTTGACGAGAATATAAATAATCATAACCTGCCCTGTAATCTGAACTTTCATTTTCCTGCCTTTCCTTTTTCATTGCTTCATGAAAAATTCAGTCTTTCAACTTAAATTTCCCAAATTCAATTGTTTACTATTGGGAGAGAGAGAGAGAGAAACAGATAACAAAAAGAAAGAAGTTAGATCGATTTTCTCGATTGTCGATTGGTCCAAATCACGAAGGTACAACAACAATTATTATTATTAAGCTAACAAACAAATGATTATCCGCCTTGTGTTATACTAAATGCAACTTTAATCAACAATAATTCATCGTAATCTTTTATCATGATGATCCATCATGAGTTGTTAATGTCAATCAATGTTGAATATTACCAATGGTTAATCAAGTCAAGTTACATTCTTAATGGTTCTGAATCATGAATCATATCATCATCATCATCATCATTTCTTCTTCATGTAAATTAGCAATATTTGCAAGAGTAATCAAGAGAAAAGTGAATCAAGAACAGAATCAGACAAAAGCTTCCCAAATAATAATGATAACATGATTTGATAACATCCACAGAAAATGTAAATCAGTTGGGTTGATATAATATGTATCTTGAGACCTGAGTTGATAATATTATGATATTTTATATACAGAATTCAAATGAACTTGTGTTGTTGACGATTCTCAGAATTTTATATATATAAATAATTGGAAAAGATGATGAGAAAAAAAAGGGAAAAGTAGAACAACAGATTCGAGGAGGAGAGAGAGATGAAGGTGGAGTTGAAGGATGGAAAAGAATAAGAAAAAGGATAAATTGTTCTAAGTTGATATGATTCCAGGCGATGAATTGAATAAGAGAAATGAAACGAAATCGAATATGAATAAACAGTTATGATGATAATCAGGTTTCATTAGAATATTAATAAAAGAGATTATGTATTAGGTTGATAGACTTTAATTCTTATGTTTATCATGAGAAATCCTTCAAGTTTCGTAGCACTTTTTTTTCTTCCCTCAGTTTACCATCAAATAGAAACTGAATTTCGTCCAAAAGGAACGAAAAAAAAATTCTCTTTTTTTTGATTCACTAGAAAAATAGAATATTATTGATTTACTTTTCACCTTTCACCTTGCTGAGTTCTAGTGAACATATAACATGGAGAGAAACTGGAAAAAAACTGAGAGAATTGAAAGAAAAGACTGAGAATGGAAAACTGATAAAATGATAAAAATCAAAGTTCGAAAGGAAAAATGATAATATTCATGTGGAGTAAATTTTCATGGTGATTTACATGAATGAAAGAATAGCTCATGAAAATTATCAATCAGATTGGGTAAATCAATATTATCAATAACAATAAACACCATCGATTGATTAGTTGATCACTTTCGAGATTGTAACTATTGATAATTGAATTTAAATCGACAATAATAATAATGGTAATTGATTTTATCTTCAATTCAATAAAATGAAAACAAGATTAGATTAACAAGTGAAAATCAAGTTAATTAAGTTAATGGTGATGATGATGATGATGATAGACAATTAGATGTTAATTGTTTAATCTAATCAGAGGTGGAGGAGAAATTGCCTTGAATTTGATTGGGAGAAATGAAATTTATTCATGATTAGATTAACATGATGATATTAATGATCTGAATTTGAGACAGAATGATGATCTTACATGATTAATGGTAACAATTAACATTGATTAACATTGAAATTAACTTTGAAAACAAGTCTTCCAATCTCTTATGAGAATCAATCATTAGCTGCTAATTGTTTCAATTAATATATATACATAAAAAAACAAAACGGTGTAATCAAATTAGATTTAATCAACAATCAAGAAATGAAAAGCTCATGAAAACAAAATCAACTTGAGATTAACATTGTAAATATTATTGCTAATTAACTCTTAAATCACAATCATTTTAATCAAGAAAAAGACGAAAATTATAAAGAAAGTAATTAAGATTAAGAACAGACCAATTAACTAAATTAACATTTACAATTACACATTTTAAATTTAATCATTTGCAATCTAATTAAATTACTACACCTCAGCTCTTTCACTATTATCAATACAAATCACTTGATTCCTTAAAATTGATTCAATAACAATCAGTTAATTGTAATTATCATCAGAAACGATTGTCAAATGAAACTCTCATTATTTAATTAATAAATCAAATCAATTAAATGTAAACAAAAATTAAATGAAAATTAATCAATTGAAATAAAAAAAAAACTACAACAACAACAATTAAGAGAAACTATTTCAATCCAAATGTGAATGAAAAAATTAATTGGAAAACGTTGATTGTGACAATCAATAAATCAGTGAATAGAAATTAATTGAAACAATATAACAAAAAATAATGGATCCAAATTAATTGATTAACTTTTGGTTAAGTCAAACTGATTAATTGTCGTTTGTGATTTAACTTCTTTGCCTCTATCAATGAAAACAATTAATCGATCCATTGGAAATTAATATCCAACAATTAACTTCTCAACCATTTCTATCAGATAACAATACAGATAAACTCATTAATTACTAAATTACAAGATTAATTATTATAAATGTTTCTTTTTGAGCTCATTTTTCATCAAATTCATGATCATGAAAACTGAAAATGAATCTGAATGAAATCAGAAAATAGCCTCAGGGAATTGAGCTGATTAACATGAAGGTAATAACAATGAAATGTTCACAAATGGATAACTATTCATAATATAATTAGATAACCTGAATACGAATCGTTAGTTGGAAGATAATTATTATAATAATAATTTTATCGATAAATTTACTCATCAATTTTACCAAATGATGATTAGTTCTGAAAAATCAGCTATTCATTGAATAGAATTTTTTTCCTCACAATTTTATAAATAAAATCTTCAACTTCAGGATTATCATAATGTAGAATCCATAATAATGATGGAAAGAATTGGTTAGAATGAATAACCCGACCATTAGAACTTTTCTCCCTCTCTGTAATAATATCGAATTCATGATGATTATTCTGAAGAGAAAATTTATTCCAATGATCATAAATATCCACGATTCCTAATTGATTTAACTCTAATATCTTTTTCTTTTCATTTACTTCTGTTTCCACAATATCTTTTAATGAACTTTCATCATGAGATAATATGAGAATTCCAATACGCAAACTCATTCTAATTATCGGGAAAATCACCATGATAATTGTCACACTGAGAATCGGCTCAGTTTCATGAGGTATAAGAACAATGAATCCAATTAAGAAAATATTACAATTTAAAATTCCATCTACAATAATTAACCTCATTTTCGAAAGTTGTAATCATCATTTAACCGCAGATCATTTGGTTAGAACTAAATTTAAAGTTCGATCCAATCAATTTATCCATTTTCTAATGGGACAATTAACCCAATTGTAATAAAAGAAAAGTGAACACGTTATTTATATTTCTCAATGGAATTGAATAATTGTTTCGGTAACAATTTTCCTTTATTGTGGTTAAAAATTGCAATTGATTAATTTTTGGAAAATGATGCATAAATTGTCAACAGATTATCATCTCTTGCGATTTAATTTCGAGAGAGATTTAAATATATATAAGCTCACGATACTTCGGTTAGCACAGAATTTTCATCGATTAAGCCAATTTACTTGATTCGATTGTAATAATAGTTACAAACATGTTAATTGTCTTTCAATTTAAATTTGAGGAGAAACAAATTGAAAGGGCACAATATGAGAAGAGGGTATTCAAGATGACGAAGATGAAACTGTGATAATCGAAGGGAATGGAAAACACAATCAAATTCTTCTAATGGTTAATTAAATGTGATCATTAAATGAGAGACGATAAGAAAACCAATTGACCAGGAAGTAATTAATTCTTTAGATGATGAATCTGCCATTGATTCTGTTAAATCGTCGGTAGTTGTTACTCCATCTTCGGTTTGCATTGTAATTTGTTCCGATGGAATATCGTTTTTGTATGAATTCGTTTTGAATGAAGCAAAATTTAATTTTTCTAACGAAAAAAAGAAAACAGAAAATGTTATTAAAAATATTAGCTCGATATCGATATCTATTAATGATAATGCTCAGAATTATTGGTTTACCTTTATCACTGGAATCAGAATTGAGCGAATTTTTTGTATTACCAAGATAATTTTTTCTATTTTTTGTAACTTCTTTACTCGGTGGACTTGTTATACTATTAATAACTGCCCGTTGGGTCGATGGACGTGGTATCTCAAATAGGACAATCGTTCCTGAGGCTTCACTTAGTACGTTTTTACCAACGCAACTGTAACTGGTAAAATCTTGATAATCGACATTCTTTATGGTTAAAGTGACCTCGTACTTGAATGAATTAGATGTGATTGATGTTGAATATTTAGAATTGTCCAAAATAATTTGTCGTGTCGATGTTTTCATCCAATAACAATCGGGTTTGGGATAAGCATCAACAATACAATTTAAAGTGACTTCTCCGTTTAAAGGTGACCCAACACGTTGTAACGGTGTCCAGACAAGAGGTGGAACTGTATTGATCAAATTACGAAAGAGAAAAAGAAAAAATTAATCAACAGAAATTAAATCAATTACAAATTCTAATCAACCAAATTAACCCACTTTTGGGTTAAAATGATTAAATTTTTTTCTCTCTGTTTACATCTACAGTTTCTTTCTACGGTTACAGATGGCGACACTTTCCACGAACTTAACAACAATTAAGTAAATTGTTTGTTAAATTAAAATTTTCTCGTGCAAACGATAACATTATGGAAGAATTGAATTTAGATTTATGTTTGTTATTATTGTTTAATATGAATGACAATCTGATCCAATTAATTTGAATAAATTTGCAAATGAAAAGTAACTGGTAACTTTTTTTTTCTCATTCGAGACTCGAAACTTTTCATCATTGAAACTCTATTTCTTGAATTGTATTGACTATTGAGCACAGAATTGATTGAAATGACAAGCATATAGTTAATATCTGAATAATATTCAACAGAAACTATGATATCAATTTCAATCTTTGAATTTTCTGAGAAACAATTGAAATGAGTAACTAAATATTTTGAGAGTTTACTATTGAATTATCATAGAAATGATATTAAAGTCTTGGAGAAAAAAATTTCCGTTTTTCAAAATGTTCATCAATGAAAGAAAAACAAACCATTTGAAATAATCATGATTCGAGTAATAAAACTTAATCGATCACAATATTCATTTGATACTCATGATATTCTGATGAATTAAATACTATTATTATTCATTTGAGAGAGAGAGAGAGAGAGAGAGAGAGAGAGACAAGAAAAATGAATGAATCGCAAATTTCCTGCTGATTTAATCAATTTAAAACTAATCGAAATTCACAATAATTTATCTAACCAATTCAACGATTGTGATACTTTGTTGTTGATATTAATTTGGAAAAGTTTATCAACCAGTTTACAAATTCAATAATCACAGAAAGTAATGAATGATAATCATATAAATGCCCAAATGGATAAACAGATAATTCCTGAAAAATTCAGCTAATAATGGTTACAATTTTTTCCCCTGAAAAGTTTTTCACGCATCATCAACCAGTTTCCTCATCAGTTTCATCATCTTCATCTTCATCCTCATCCTCATCCTCATCTCTCTCTTTTTTATCTTCATCTTCGACTCAAGATGATGCTAAGATACAACAATTGATCCAGGGAGCAGAATCTTCAAGTGAGTCTTGTTCCATGATATTATTAATAACATAATTGTTGAAGGCGTAACAAGACATTTTCATGTTGTCATGATAACATTTAAATCAATGTTAATGTTATTATCTTCATCAGAATCTCAATGTCAACCTAATGATAATAATAATTTCAATGGGCTGAGTGATTACAAGATCATTTAAATTGTTCAAAACCAATTCAATACACAGAGTTCTGAAAAGTTCTGATAAAAGTTTCACTCAATTTAATTTAATTCTCAATTTTTCTTGTTCTATTCAACTGATTAATTTCCAGAAAAGAGGTAAAAAAGTTTCCAATGAGTAGAAGTGATTTAGAGAAAAATTAAACATTTCAAATTATCACAATTTTCTTATGGTTTCAATAGATTTAAATTGAGATCAGATGAATGGTGTTAATCTTATGGTTAATCAAATTTGACTCAAAAGAATAAGATTAAAGTTTTGATAAGATTGAAAGTCGATGATCTTGTTGACAGAAAGATAACTCATAGACTCGTAAAGTTCATGTCAAGATTAACGTTGAATAATCTGGAAAAAGTTACCATGAAAGTGATAGATTCATCATGTTGTCCAAATTTCACTTCAATTGAGTTTATTTGTTTGGAGCTTTTTATTTTCATTTTATTGAACAGACAGAAAGATGAGCTCAAAAATGAAGTTTTATTTTCATTGTCAGATTCATGGGATAACTGTAAAGTTTTCCTCTCTCTCTCTCATTGGATTTATCTTCATCTTCTAAAGACAAACATCTTGAACATAATCCTCGAAACAAGTTTTCGTAAGGATCTTGACAAATGAAGATTAAGACGAAAGTGAGAGTACAAATTAAGTGAAAAGAAAGAGGAAGATAACTTGTCATCCATCTAAAATTCTTCTTATATGTTCACTCTTTCATCTTAATCATGAAGATGATGATGATGATGACATATATTATGTACCTGGTTCTTCAACGTTAATCTAACTTTATTGCTCATTCGAAACAGTTTAACCAAAGTGTTTTAACTTTAACAATGATCGCTTCATGTTACCTTGATGACTTACTGATTATTTTAAGAGGATTAATTGTTATCTAGATTTTATCAGTAAATTCAGTTTCTCATTGAATCAATTTATAAATTCCAATACAGAGCATTTTAATATATAATCCAAATACAGGACTGTTCAGCTTTTCTCCGGTGTTTCTTCCGGTAACTAGAAGCCCTAGAGACTTGAACAGGGGAAATTTGAAAGTTACTCAATCGTCTTATTGAAAGATCAAGGTCTTGGGTGAACTAACGTCTTTAAAGTTCATGTGAAAGTAAATTTTAAATTTCAAGGTCATCCTTCAAAGAACGTATTTAGGGATTATTATTAAAGGTTTATTTGGTCACACCATAAATGGGGGACAAGATTATCGTTGAAATTTTGACGGTCTTTATATTGGGATGGCCTGTGATCCAATAGTAAACTATTGAATCGATGTAGTGCCAGGTTATCCTACATGGAATGTGATTGAATATAATACATATTAACAGATTAACAGATAAATATACCAATGGGTCAATAGATATGATTAGACAAGTTGATTCGGGCATCACATGTAAACTTAAACCAATAACCTTTTCGAGACTGGTATTAGAATTTTTCCCTCTCTTTCGTCTTCATCTTCTTAAGCCTTTATTGAATCATTCACCTTTTTCGTTGATTCTCTAAGATGATTATCATCATGATAATAATATACAAATGTATTATATCAGAGATGAGATAAAGTTGGCTTGTTAATCAATCTTAATGAATTCAAAGAAAATATTTACTCTCTCTCTCTCTCTCTCTCTCTCTGCTGTTGAGACGATTCTCAATTTTGGTTAAATTACATATGAAATCTTGATGGTTGATTCAATTGGAAAAGGCTAGTAGAGGTTTGAGCTGGAAAAAAGAATCAGGATTAATCAGAATTTATCTTGTCTCCTCTTTATATACATATAATCATGAACAAGATGAACTTTCCTCAAAGGTTTTCTCATTTTCTAGCAAAGATACTCCTTCAAGTAGTTCAAGATTCCATGTTATTCATGATAAGTAAACTTGACCAAGTTTGACCTGTTATCGGTAATTTGGTCTGTAGATGTGCAAGAATTAGATATTTATAATAGCAATTGAATATTCCGACAATCATCAAGTGGGTTAATCATCAACAAAGATAATGAATCAATGAGAAATCAATGAAAAAAAAACATAAGATCACAGTAAATGAAACCGATTCTTGTTTCAATTCTGATACTCATCCTCATCTTCATCTTTATAATATTATCATCATCTTATCCAGCGAAATTTACATCTCGAATGAATAGAAATGAAATATATAAGAAAGAATAAGATACAAGTCACTTTATCAATCTTTTCCTTTTCCCATATTCAATGAGATTCCTCATCAATATGATCATTATCATCGCCATCATCGTCTCCCTGTTTATCATCCCACTTCTCTCTCTCTCTCACTCACTCATAACAACTAAATCAATCTGGAAAATGAACAAACAAAAATCCTCATTATCTTCATCTTTATCCTCATCATGATTCTATTCAAGTACCAATATAGGTGATGGACAATATACAATTAACTGAATATGATGATAAACATTTCACTTGATACTATGGTGAAGATAATGAGATGATGATGATGATGATACTCAGGCGATCATGAAGATCATGACCAGGGCGAAAATAAATTTTAAAGAATAGGAAGAGAAAAGAAAAAACTTTCAAACTTTAATTTCACTTGAAACTTTCTCAGAATTTCAATTTATATTTTCATCTCCTCCATTAAGTTAACATTATTAATACAATAATGATATTTTTTCAACCTTCTAATGAAATGAAAGTTAATTGATTTGAACATTGACAAAGTTATCAAAGTCAATTAGCTACCACATATTTGAAATACACTTAATCAGTGATTAAATAATTACCTCAAGTAAATGATGATAATAAATCACATCAATCTAATATTATCATTATAATGAAGGAAACATTTTACATCATGTAAATGATTTTTATCTCACAAAGTGAACAATTTGTTTTAACATGAAATTAATTGAAATTGAGAAGATGAAAACAAGTTAATGTTGTTTACAATTGATTAATTGTTTGATAATTTCACAATGATTACATTTGCCTTTTTCTAATTATATATGTAAATCTATTTGATGTCAAGAAAGTAAAACATATCAGACAAAACAAAAAGGTCGTATCAACAACAGTGAGAATCAGATTAACCCGAAAAAATAATTAAACGACAAAACAAACAAAATGATAGTAAACTAATCTTGTTTAACTGTTATTTGATTAATTGATTGTATCAATTGTCTTGTCACAATGATATTAATTGACAAGATAAACAAAAAAAAATGTTGCCTTTCATTGAGGGAAATGGGGGAAAAGATTATTATTATTATTAGAATCAGAATATTATCAGAATCAGAGCAAATCATACAAATATTATATTGAAAAGATAAATAATATTGTTTAATGATGATTATGATAATCGAGATTGGTGATCAATATTCTGAATCACAAAAAGATTATCTCCAAGATGAACAAAAAGAAAACAAAAGTTTATCGACTCGCGTTATTATCATCGTGATCCCAATTTGACCTTATGTTCCTGATGTATATATGAGTTTGCCTCTTGATGACCTTAATATCCTATTTCGAACTGAATTTATCAGAACAATATAAGTGTATATATATATATTGGGAGAATAGACTAAGACAAAAAAAAGTATATATTATATGAGGAAACAATGAGAGATGTTATCGAGAAGATGAAGATCTAAATGATGATGAAGATGATGATGAGATATTTGATTGAGTCTTTCAATTTCCTGGTTATTTTTCATCTTATTTTGACTCCTTCTCGTTTTGTCTTATTCTGTTTTCTTCTTCAACTCACAATGTCACAATTATTTGGTGTTCCAATAGATAAACATATAAACACATCATGAAGATCATGAGGAGTATCATCATCATCATTACAAGATGAGACGGAATAAGAAGAAGACACCATTTTGACATTGATTAACAATCCAGAACAAGAGGTAACTTTTACATATGTGTTCATTTGGAGGTTCGAGATTCACTTTTTCATTGTATTTTTCTTTACTTTCAACTTTATTCTTCTCAATTGAACAAAGTATCACTTGATTCTGATTCCAATCAAGATACTCCCACTTGAATTCCTCTTGAGAGTCAATAAAAAAAGAGAACAAGAAAACCAAACAAATATAATAATAGAAAGTTAAACCAATTCTCATAAAAGAAACCATCTAATTCATTATTAGTATAATTCTGTTGGAAAAACTCTAATCAAGTTAAACATCGAACTCAAGTTTCTCGCCCAAAGCTCATTCGAGTTGAAATTCGTTCAAAGGTCGGCTCGAAATTTTTGCATCTAATGTTCAGACGAAAATCTTTTGCGGTCGAAACGATTAAAATACTTGTTTGAACTTTTTCTGAGCCCGAAAAGAGATAATAAATTGATGTAATACTAACTATCCCCATGTAAAGATCGTCACAAGGAAAGAATATTTTATGAATAGAATGGTATTTATCCTCATCTTCAGTTTGATTTATCTTTTTCTCTCTTTCTCTTAAGAAATTAATCTGATTTTTTTTCTCATTCTGCTCTTTTATTCCAGTCGGTTGAATCAATTATATTTTCCTTATGGATTAAGATTGAGGAGAAACTCAACTGAGAGATAATTTTAATGATAACAATATTTTGCTCGACTTGATAAGATAAAACAACTGATTCTTTTGATGATATTAAGTCCCAATTTGTCACAATTATTGTCAACAAGAAGATCATGTATTTCAATTATCATCGAAAAATATTAATTCCTCTAATCGACATTCTCATCATCATGATTTTTTTTCAGTCATGGTGAATTCGTTTCTTGAATAGTGAAAATAAAATAACCAAAATGATGAGGAAGAAGAAAAAAAGATCAACAAGATTATAATGTTCATTTCATCAGCATATTGTTCAGCATTATGATTACACTTTACAAGGTAATGATAACATCGTGATGATGAAGATGAAGATGAAGATGAGAATAAAATTGAATGTGTAAACACAATAATGAATGAAATGATGAAACAGAGAATCTAGAATATCAATGAATAGAATGATGAAAATGATGCTTGATGAAATTCTCATTAGTTGTAATAAGTTGATTCTTTTTCTATTGAATTTTGTATTAACCTTTGAATATCCACTAAGCATCTTATCATCAACTTCAGAAGGAAATTCATCATTGAATAAATCAATGGAATAAGAAAACTAAAGAAACAACAACAAGAAGAAGATAAAATTAAAGAGATAATCAATTGATTCTGTTCCTTATTCATTTACAATTTCCCTGATTAAACAGAATTCACCAATGATGATTGAGGAATAAAAATCGTATCATCTGACCAAAAGGGGAACATTGAGATTAACTAATTAACCAAATAAACAATTACAATTGAGGAAAACTTTTTACACAGTTAATTTAATTTACTCCCTTAGTTACCACATCAACTAATATATGATAAGATTTTGTAACCAATTTGTTTGAAATTATCAAATTTTCAGACCAATTATGAGAGTTGCTTAGATTTTCATGTATTATATCCTGAATTTGTTTGAACTTTTTATCCTTACCCTTAAATTAATGATGATAATTTGATTACAATTGTATCTTAACCTTAACTGTTTCAAATTTTTTACTTGATGGCGCTTGAGACATGCTTAAAATGTGAATTAGTTTGAAACACTCATTTCTTAGGCTAATTTATAACATTTTCATGGTTTCATCATGATTATTATCATCATGATAAACTAGGTATTACCATTAATTTTACTTTCTTCTTGCTGAGATAAAATTACTTCAAACCCTTTTTTTGTATCGTTATTTAACAATGAAAAGTTGATAACGTTCACCATCAATGACAATCATTATTCAGTTGTGATTTAACATAACATTTTCACCCTGTAATCTGCTTGTTATAATAATAAAGTAGCTCAAGATTTGCATGATAAAATATCTGTAATAAAATTCAGCCCGTACAGTTTATATTGGAGAAAATATTTATTCAAAGGAAATTTCCTCTGAAAGATTTTAACAGAAAAAGCCATCAAATTCGCGGAGATAATATTCAATTTTGCATAGAAATATGACCACGTCTTCAACACAGAAAAGCTACATATTTGAATGGTAACCTGGTTAATTAAGTGAAATACTCGTAATACTCAAGATACATTCAAATCACTTGGAACGGAACACAAATTCCTAATTTGAAATAAAAAACATTTCTTCGATCAAGGCAGAGTTGCCGATGACCATTGTGTTTGATTTGGTGGGACAGTAGAGTTAGTACAACAAAAATGCTTCTTGGGTGCGCGGTGATTGTTTGTATACTTTGTAATTTGACTAAATTCACAATATAGTTATTTCTCTCGTTTTCAAAAAGTATCGATAGAGGACCATAAGGATGATGTTTAGTAATCTGCCTAACTACCTATGTCACTGAGAAAAGATTATTTGCTAAAGATGGAGAATATAAAGAAAACATTTTAATAAACTTTTCAACGCACAGGCATGTCTCTCATTGGCAAGGAAACCGAAAATTTTTCAATTTGTCTATTTATAAGAGTTAATGCCATTTTGAACTTTTCAAGTTTTGTGTTTGCGCTTTTCTTCTTCATAAAGTTTGATCTTTTTTCATCAACAGTGAGAAACAGATCAAAAATATTCATTTCACAATCTTTGATATTCTAGTCTACTCAACAAAAAAATTCAACCAAAGCTCATTTGAAATATGTACAAACCAGGCAAATCGTAAGTCTCTTTTCATTCCAATAAGTAAGTGTAAAAGATTTTTTCAAATTGTTATGATAAGTCAAATTTATAAATTCTGTATTTTTTGCTAATTAGTTCTCATCGCAATCTACCAATTGCTGATTCAAATTTTAGCTATTTTATGCTATACAAACGACGAGGAAAATGTGTCATTTTCTCTCATGCTAATTTCGATACTCAGAGAGAGTAGTAAATAGTGTCTATTGCCTGTTATGGGCGGAGCTTAAAGTTGACTAGGGGTGGGTACCTGAAATGGGGAGAGTGGTCTAAACAGGAAAGACATGAATATTTAAGACTATCTTTTTGTCTAGTTCCTGGTAGCCAAGCGGAATGGCCAACTGCAAGGTTACTACGGATTCGTGGGTTCACGTCCACTTCTAGGCAGCAACTCTCTTGGCGTCTCGCTAGCCCCTTCCAGTTGGACTGGTCAACCAACAAGGTGGCAAAGTGACGCAAGGTCCACCCAAGACAAACAAGACCAGATGTGTTCTACACTACCGAGTCTACCCCGACAAAACCAACAAACAAAACAACAAAAAATCTTCAAATAAAATCCGCTTGGGGTAGATAGGTAGTGTAGAAGCATTTTGCATTTTTTTGTTTGTATATAAGTTAATGGTACTATATACACTATGTACATGTATACACATATAATAAGCGCTAATTTCGAATCAATGAAATTTAAGGGAAGATATTAGAAATGAAATAAATGGAAATAATAGACAATATTAAGGAGAGGAAAAGCTCTTTATTGTTAATCACAATTATTATCGGCGAACTTTTTTACACTTGATCACTTCATAAGAATCTTTATGAGGACGCTTTCTAATGAGAATAGGAGAAGGTCCAAATAGTCTACATGGTAATAAAGGAAGTCTTTTATAAGGAGTTTTTACAATCGGTGTTGAATGTATCGGTATGGTTGAAGATGGTGTATTATATTCTATCTCACTTCCATCAGTGAATGTAGTCCAGTCGCTCGAATGGTCCGAGATAGAAGTGAAGGATTCACTTAGCTGGGTTGAAGGAGAACTGTCACAAGAGTCAAGGACGATTGTTGAACTCGAACTGATTTCAATGGTTTCTTGATCTTTAGTAGAAACATTAACTGCTGAAGCTACTGGAGGCATCTCTTCGTCTTTCTTATAGCAGTCCACCATTTGATTTACTGCCAAACCAAGATATGAAGCGGCAGAGGCCCAATCCTTGTTCTCGGTGATAGAGACTCTAAGGGCATTGAGTAGGTTCACAACCTCAGCTAAAGGAACAAACCCAGTTAGACTATAAGGGTCTAAGAGAGCTGCCCTTGTCGAAGCATCGAGTGATTGAAGTTCAAGAATATCAGGCTGTTGACCATCGCAGGCTTGAGGTGAAGAAATAGAAGGAGCAGGCATAGCTGAGGGACCAAATATCATGGCGAAAGTCGAGGGCGATAGAGTAAGTTCAGCAAGAGATGACGATAAAGGAGGGATCGAAGACATTGTTGTGAGCAAAGAAAAAAATTAAGTTAAGAGAGAGAGAGTGAGAGTTAGATAGCAAGGGTGAATGAGTAAAGAAGACTGATGATTTTTCACGAAATAAACTTGGTATTTATGTGGAAAATAGCTAACTCGGAAGGTAACGCCTATTGTCATCCACTCACTCTATGGATCTCCTTTGTCTATCTCCTTCCCATAATAAAACAAAAGTTATCTCTCTCAAGACGATAATAATCCTATCTTCCACAGATGGTAAATGAAAAGAACCAAGATAAAGAAGATAGTTATAACTCTTTTCCTTTGGGAACACAGATGTTCACTATAATCCTAGCAAAGAATGGAGATTTTGAATATAACCCTGAAATATATCTAGCTACTTACTACATAATTGGTAAATCTAAAGTCTCTGTATTTCATACAGGTAAACTTACTTTAACAGGGTTTACCAATAAAACAGACATTGTAAATTCTTTTGATGAAGTCAGTTTATTAATAAAATTATTTTATAATTAAAAAAACGCAATCGATTAATTTCAATCTAAAAATACTCGCGATATTTGTCTTACAAATAGGACATGAATCAAGCTGTGGTGCACACTCTGTGCATGCTTTTGCATGATCACATGGAGTAAATACTGTGCCTACTTCTTTGTCAAGACAAATTTTACATGTATATCGATTCTTGTCCTCAGATGCTTCTGGCAATTCTAGCAAGGGTGTGACCTTAGTTTTTGGTGAATTGATACCATCGATAAAAAGCTGTCCTCTTTTCAAATAAAGAAAAGAGTATTTTGGAAAGAAATATGCATGAACCGCCCAAGCATTGTCGTCCTTCTCCCAATTTGAAATTGTACCGTTGCAGTGTAGAAGAATCCTGCCTCAGCTAATTCATTTGGACTAATTATAGTGTTGGAAGGCCATCCATGAAATGTTGATAGTCTCTTAACTAATGAGCTAAGCTCAGGAGTAACTGGTTTGAAGTATCTTCTACGTTCACATTATGCGGCAAAAGTTATGAGCCGATTTCGGATGTTGTGTCTTATTGATCTGATGTAACGACGAGCACCCCGAGTAGGAGTTTCATGTCTAACCACCTCTATGATCTCACGGTTATTCTGTGATCTTGGGTAATCATCTATTACGTCTTCACCTTCACTTGAACTATGTTCACTGTTTTGAATAGAGGTCTCTTGTATGTGAGATTGATTTTGAGTTGAACTGTGTTGATTACATACTTCAAACCAACCTCCACGGTTAGGAGTTTCAGTTGGCATGTAAGGTATATTACCACAATCAAGATTTCGCATGAAGGGACAATTTGATGATTGTAACCGATGTTCAATATAATATAAATCCTGAACATTAGATGCATAATGTAGATGGCCACAAAAAATACACTTGCACTGGCGAGTTACTCCTGTATAGTAATAACCATCACGCGCTAATTCGAAGCGGTTTTCTATCTCACGCCCCCATTCAGATGTAAAGAAGGTTACTATCCGCTGTTCTTCATCTTTCAGATAACTAAGATCAGACACTGGTGAAAATATCGGGCTAATCATATTGATGTTCACAAGAGAAACTACATAAGCAAGAGTTGATAATGAACTGATTTATTTCGTGACTGACCATCTTGTTTTATACTTCTCACTAAATTACTGCGAATATTATAGAGCGCATCTTATTGCGCATGTGTAGAGGTCATTTTTGAAATCTGCGCATTTTTCTAATACCCACCCCACTTCAGGTACCCAGACAACTTTAAGCTCCGCCCATAACAGGCAATAGACACTATTTACTACTAGAGAGATTAAAAATTTGTTTAAAATTGAAGTTGATGAATCGTAAAAATGTTTGAGTGGCTTAGGATTCGAGTAGCTATCCATAAAGATCTCAAAAAGAGATCAAATCCACTATTAGAGCTTGTAAGTATAAATTTTTTTCAATTTACTCATTTTCTCAACAAGCAAGAATCACAATCATTTGTACTAATCATAAAACCTTTTTCTCTTTATTCTCGTTCTCAAAAAGTATCGATAGATGACCATAAGGATGCTGATTGTTTAGTAGTCTGAATCACTACCTATGTCACTGAGAAAAGTTTATTTGGTAAAGACGAAGAATAAAGCAAACATTTTGCGAAAACTTTTCAATGCACATACATGACTCTCATTGGCAAGGAAACCGAAAACACTTTTATTGATGTTCATGAATTGTTGCTTGGCATCGTCCTCTCGCTTTTTCTTGGTAAAATTTAGTTTTTTCATTTTCTTGTAATAATGCAACTTTCTGCTCATTAAAATCCATTGAGAATTAGGAGATTTGTGCTAGAGAAAAACATGATCTAGGCTTTGAAATTACATTGAGCTTAAAGCATGATTCAGAAGATTCGCGTTTGCTGAAAAACCTACTGACTCTTCCCATTCCCTTTCAAATCTAAAGGCGCTCAAAAATTACTTGCAGTGTGTCGTATTTTTAATAAATGGATGAGTTTCTCATATTTCTATCAAGTGAATACATGTGCATGAATGAAACCATTTATTGAAAAGTTTTGTCGTAAGGAATTTATCCCAGAAAAGACAGTTACTTGCAGAGCGGGTCTTTAGTTATAGTGCTTGACTAAAAGCCTTAAGCCGTCATATCTGGTGATACTTTTTTATCTCTTGGCTGATTTTGATAAGTAAATCTTAAAGTGCTCTTAATAGCATAAATAATCAATTTAATTTATTAAGTAGGCCGGATAGAGTTAGGGCCGCGATTTTTGCTTAAATTTTCAAAATGAAGCTTAAGAAATTAATATCGGACTCAATTTCTGATTATGAGTAGCGTGTTTTTATAAAATTTTGTGCTTCACTTGAGCATTCTGCTTCCGTGACACACTCTGACCTTGTGAATGTTGTTGGTAAGAATGCTTTCTCGTAAAAAAGTGTACAAAATATTCTTAGCCGAATAAGAAAAGGCCAGGTCGACGTAATTGATAAAAGATCTGGAGAAACAAAAGATGCTGCTCGGAGAGAGAAACGGTTGGAAGCAATCTAATCTGCTATGAATGAATCTAGGCACTGTTCTACTAGAGCTCTTTCTGCAAAATTGGAGATTCCTCTGACTACACTGCAAGAATATATCAAGAATAGACTGAAGACGAAGAAGACCCTTGGAAAATGGGTGCCACATGAGTTGAACGAGTTTCAAAAAGGAACACGTGTCAACACATGCAGACTTAACCTTCGAATTTTAGCAGATGGCCCTGATACCTTAAATAAAACATTTTCCATAGATGAGACATGGGTTTCGCTTTATATGAGTCCGAATAGGAACCAACAAAGAAGATGGACTAAAGCTGGTGAGGAACCTGAACCAATTGCCCGGGAAAACATTCAAGGTAACAAAAGAATGTTGATAATGGCCATGGACATTAGTGGTATAGCATTTTGGGAGCTACTACCACCAAAAACTTCGGTTAACTACAGTGTGTATAAATCTTTTTGGTTTCGAAAATACCTACTTGGATCAATTCTAGGGTTGTTAGGAGGCCCTATTTACTACACGACAATGCTCGCTCACACAAACCTCAAGAAATTACCACCCTATTGAAAAAAAGGTATTACTGTTTGGCCCCACCCATATTCACCTGACATCTCACCTTTAGATTTTTGCTGTTTTGGTACCTTAAAAGACATGCTGAGAGGTAAAAAATTTAGTGATTGGGACTAGTTCAATACAGCTCTAGAAGATGCAGTTGAGCAACCTAATAATAGAGGTCAATTGAAGGGCATAGCGAAGTTACCTGAGAAATGGAAAGAGGTCATTGAAAAGGCCGGTGAATATTTATGAATTTCCCAAATTTTCAAAAAAATTACATGTTTAATAAAAAAATTACAATCAAAATAATTCTCCCCAACTTTATCCTGTCAGCCTAATACAATCAAAATAAAAATATCTCGATAGTTTATAATTGATAATTGCGTTAATTTTTCCCGATTTCCGGAAAATCCTATGACTGGATCCCAGACAAAATGTTTATCAATGAAACTTCTTCTTTCTCATCTAAACTACTATTAAAAACGGGAAAATTTAAGTTAAATCATTCCTTTTTTCGTTTATATTAAAAAAAACTGGTGTTCAAGAGATTTTGTCAAGTACCATAACTGTTTTTACTTAAAACTGACCTTCAACTTTATATTTCTATTTCTACCAATTCTTACCGTGCAAAAACTTTCGAAGGTACCTAATATTGGCAATATAGTACAACAAAGTAGAAAATTAAACTGAGTTTCATAATTAGGATTTCAGTTCTATTTGCTTAGACCATAAACTGCACTTGATTGTTATTTAAACTTTTCAGGGATCATTTTTACTAGTGATACGAAAATTCATTATTTAAAGCACATAAATTTATTAAACTTATTGGGTAAACTTAACCCCGAAAATCCATAAGGAAAATGGCCGAAAAACGGCCATTATATTGGTAATGAAGGAGATTTCTCCTCATCTCCTCCATCTTCAACAAAAATCATCCAATCAGATTAACCAGGTACCACGTGAGAGGTGGTACCTGGTTAAACAAAGAGAACTGGTTGTGAGACCAGTTTGGTTACAGTTCTGCGGGGGTACATAGAAAGGATCAACGTCCTCGTTGATTTACAATTATTAGGAAATTAATCAATATAAAAATAGTCCATCACCGGACATTATTTACAAAGTATAAAAATTGGGTATAAACGGTATTGAAACATAGAATTAAAGTTAGTAATAATTAATAGTAAATGGACATGTCAGTCTAAAGTTATTATTTCAATCAGATTATTTGAATGCAATTGGAGCCAGTGATGAATATTTTGTCCCATTTTTACCATATCTCGAACGACTTCAGCTGTGGGGACAGGAATGTTTTTATCTTTCATCTTTTGTAATTCGATGTAAGCTTTAAGAGTGACTCGAGAATCTCTCTCAGGAGAATGTCCAATGGTTACATGTTTATCATCATCTCTACGTAATTTTTGATGATTAAAGAATAAAAATTTATCTAATGAAACTAATCCTATTGGTTGTTGTCCAGGCCAAAGATCTTGTAAGTCAACGTGTTGGATGAACGATGCTTTTAGTTTAGATGTCGTTAACTCGAGTTTATTCAAATCGTCTTTCCCTTGTGTTAATAATCTTCTTCCGATGGCTAATTCTCGTACTTGTTGGCATATCTCGTCCAGGCTTAATCCTGTTGCTAAATCATTGATTTGTAGTCCAGTGATTCGAGTATTTGGGTTTGATATTGTAGTGTTTTTTACCTGAGCATAATATACTGTTTGTATTCTAATTACATTTCCAAACCACCCTGATAAATGAACGCTTCCTACACCATTATTTCCATCACCTTCGATGTCAAGGGATAATGTTTCTTTTTTATTATTTTTCGGGCCAATCGGAACATATTTTTCTAAATGTTCTGGTATTGGATTGTTAAGGTTTTTCCAAAAAGGTTTACCTCCATACGCTTCCCTTAATTTTCTTCTTCTAACTCGTCGTTGTTCTCGTGCATAGGAATATTTTGTTGGTCTAGATTGTACCACGGTATTTATATTTACTTGTTGATCAGTTTTGAAAGGTAATTCAGGGCAATTTTTTCTGAAGTGACCAGGTTCACTACAGTATGAGCAGTATTCACAATTTATCTTAGTATGGTTAAAGCGGAAGCATAGGGAACAATGTTTTTCTGGTAAATCGATAAGATTGATTTTTGTAGAGTTTCTGCTGTTCTGATAATTTAGTTTTCTAGTGTAAGATAATAAATTTTGATGAGCAGTTTGCAACTTATCTGGGTGATTCGCTGTAACCGTTAATTTTGTGAATTTGTTCATTTCCTTTGGGGTACCACATATGTCATAATCGGATGATACTAACTCCGGCCTCCAAACATGGCCATAGTAATTAGTGTATTTAGTGGCAAAAATTGACAGAATCAAATAACATTTTCTAAATACTGAACTTGGTGAAATTGGTTTAAGTTGACTGTAATGATCTTGGTTGTTTTTCTTTCGTTGCTTTGATGAGATGAAAAACCCTGGGCCTGTATTTTTTAGTTGTAAGTTTTCCAGCTTTGGATCTGGAGGAGCATTTGTTGCATTCCAATCGTCTTCCATCCTAATTGTAAAATAAAGAAAAGAAAGAAGAAAGCTTCAATTATTCATCTACCCCAAATCACCGGAGTTTTGAATAATAAGTATTAAATTACCCATCACCGGTTGATTGAAATTTTATCATAAATTTGAATTTACCCAATCACGGGTTAATTAAAATTTTATCAATAGGACTTCAAAAACCCAATCACCGGGTGAAAAGAACATTTTCATTTAGTTAATTGTATATCCATCACCAAGTAAATTATCATTATCATTAGTAATTTTATCTCCATCACCGGAGAATTTTGAAACCCTGCCCCAGCACCGGAGCATTGATTTTAATTGTATTAATAACACTGATGTAAAGGTATAACAACGTCCTTATTTTCTTTATTTTCTCTATTAACTATCACAGAGTTTATTGATCTTTTTGGATAAGGGATTAATCTACAACCAATAACACAACACAAGAAGCTGATGGTAATACTAATAAGTATCCAAATCCACTTTGGTACATTCATTTTCCAATTTATTTTAAGGTGATTGATACTTGTTTCAATTTTCTCTTGAGCTTCATCGATCAATGTGAAATCAA